ATCAAAAGGTGCTAAGCTTTCGTCCCTCTTCTGATGAACCTCATCAGAGCCGTCGTCGTCTTCTGGTGGAACCGACTTTCGAATCTCTTCACCCAACACTTTCACTCGAAATGGAAGTAAGCTCAACAATTACACATACTAACATAAAATATAAGTAGTATCATCAATTTTAGTGAAGCATTCCGCCTGGCCCTATCGTCTCTCCCAGTATAGAATATGATTTGCCAGAAGCCTGGCTTACCAAGCTTAAAAGTTACATCTGCCCTGTGACACACTGGGATCTGTGACTGTGAATCGGAGTGGTTGAGTGTCACCACTTGGCAACATCAAAACCCCAGTCTCGAGTCCCGATGTGGTGATGATGAGACCTGAAATTCGGTCCGAGCCTGGAGGAAAAAGGCTGATGAAAAAGTGATTGTGATGGATATTCATTTGATTGCTGAAAAAATTCAACTACTAGTCCTTACGTCACCACAAAGTTATTATTCGAAATTTGCTGTATCAAAAGGATGTGGACGAAAATAGCACAAGCAGAAGGTTGAGTGGGCTAAATATTCGAGGAGTGCAGCTGAGGGCTGGTTTCTGTCGTTCAAACTTGTCGAAATTGCCCCTTTTTACATGACTTGCCGATAAACATTCTGTTACTCGGACGGCATTGGCAACAAATGGCACAACCGCGTTGTCAAGAGCGTTGGCTACCGTCCATCATATGAGGGATGAGCATCTCCTCTTCAACAATACTCCATATTTTGTGCACCAGAAGGGAACCTTGGATCCAAAGAACCTCTTAACAAATTTGTGCCTTATTGTCTTTCATTCAGTAAATTGTGCATTTCCTTAGAGTTTACACTTTAATTGTCACGATGCGCGATCTTTTCGTGTTGGCGCCTCATCTGTACCGACGTGATACAGACAACGTCCGAAAATGGTGTCCACCATTAAGTCCACCACCCTAGCATAACCTACTAATTATAGCAAATGAAAGCTTGGTACCGGTGGATCGAGGCGACGAGGCAATTATAGTCACAAATCCAAGAAAATCCACATTCACTTTCCCATGGGGAAATTTTACGACCTCTGTCCGGCCAAGCTTACAAACGAAATGATAGGTAAAGCACATCTCCACAATTGGAATGTTACGAAATTGTAATTGTAGAAAAACCAACTGATCGTCCTCATTTTACCTTGAGCCATCTTGGCTAATTTAAATGCCTTTTCAAGATCCATTATAGCAGATCGTAATGACAATGACAGACCAAATGTCGACCTGGCAAAAATTTTTGTCATAATGAAATTCTCTTTTAGCGGATTCGAAAAAATGTTTATTGCAATTGATAATATAATTTTTCGTGATTCTGGAACACTCTTTATTATGGTATTCGTTAGACGAATATTTAACCTTTATTAGTTTGCCGCCCTGACAATCTCATTATGAAATGCGATTTGCAAGAGTCTTTGATTGACTAGAATTTTGCATTCTTCGTATGAGCTGCTAGCATCCTGTCTTGACTGTATGGAGGGGCCGCAATTTGCCGATACTTTACGCCCATGCTCCGTGATTTCTATTCATGTTGCCGTGGCAAATAGTTCACCCCATGCGACGTTAGTCGATTCAAGTTAGTAAGGAGGATGCAACAACCTGAATTCCAAGACGAGTTGATTCAGACATCCAGAACTAAAAGAGAGTTTTCAGGTAAAATAATTCACGAATTTTTCTTCGAATTTTTCTTAAAAGGAGTAAAATATATCTTTGTTTTGCGTTAAAAGGCATGGCGAAGAGATTCGAAGGTAAAAAGTTGATTTTAGTTCTACTGTAAACGTTCGGCTTTAATACGACCCTCCGTTTGACGCAGTCCACGCAACGTCCTACCTCGTTTCGGCGGAAAACTGCTTGAGCCATTTTACTAACATCATCAGAGCTGGGATTTATTCTCACAAAAGTCTCGAGAAAACTCTAAGTTAAGAAAACTGACCGGCTCTTTCCTACGTGTTATATGTTCTCATGCATTGAAACAATTTTAGATATCGTTGAATATATAAAGTTTTAGTTATTGCTTTGATATAATTTAGTGCGTGTGTGTGTGTACACACTTACTATGAGTTCCATCTCTGATTAAGTAAAAGAGGCACTTGACCTTCTTGGTCGTCATGGATGCGCCACAGAAAAATAAAAATCAGCTCTTTCGTCGGCAAAAAAAGCTGATCGTCGGACATGAGAGGATCTTTTCGATCATCTGAACAACACTAGATCCGACTGCTCATACAATCATCAGACAAGTTTATGGCGGTAGAGTAAAAGCATGCTACCAAATACCTTTTGGATCTTCGTAATGGCCGACGAAAAAGACGAAACCAATTCACTCAACCTGCGACAAAATCGTGACTATCGCAACCCACTCAATCGACCCGATATACACGAAAACGCGACACTCGTGCCGCTCCGGGCCTCAATTACCCAAAATAACCGCAACCAACACGAGTTTGCTAAGTTTATTTATTCGCAAAAAAAGAAAAGCAAAGCTATTTTGAAGCATTTGATGGACACGATAAAAACAACAGATCTGGGCTTCCATGATACAGAAGCTTTAGTTGTTTGATCATTAAACGAAATCGAGGGTTAAAACTCCCCG